AAGCAATCGTTAGTTTCGGAATCGCGGAATTAAGAACAAAAAGTAAAAATTCAAAGTGAAGTTGACGGCCGAAAAGGATATCCGTTCGGAATTGTATTATGATGAGAGAGTTTTCGTGCCGGTCATTAGGAATGGCGAAGATGAGACTGAGGAGTTCTTCTTGGATGAGTAGAGCAACGACGCAAAAGAACTAAATAGAGAGCGCATTAATGTACGCGCGAATATAATTGTTTCCACGGCCTGCCTCTAATGCCACTGTTGCAGCATGAATCACCTTTATTGTTCCTATTATAATTACCGTCGAGAGTTCAATACGAAATTGTGGAATAAAAGTGAAATGCCGACGCAGGAGAGAAAAAACGAAATCTCGAACTACAAACCAAATTGAAGATAAAGATGATCCAGGAACTGTAGAAAACAAGTGTAAATATTATGCGCATGTAAATTTCTAAGTAAAGTGTCCATGATTACTCGATAATAATACCGCATGACACACTCAACCTTGAAAGAGTGTATCCTATATCAATCTACCTGCGCGGAATGCATGCAAAGCATGATTCATTGTCATACGCCGTCCGTTTTATTGCGGTTTTAATTCCATGCCGAATGAAATAACCGTGCACGATGTGTACACAACAAAACGCGATCGGCGCGCAGCGCACAGCATCGCGAGGTATTTTGCGATCACGCTCTCTGTCGTTGCACAATACACGGCTCGTAATTATCGGCGCGCAATTACAGTGCATTTTACGCAACAGCGCCGCATTGCATCGGAATTGGAAGAGCGGTTGTGTGTGTCCTTGCGATTCCTTACAGCAACAATCATCATCGGCGCATCGTCTCCTTCTAATGCCTGCTGCTGCACACACACATATTTGCGCGATTACGTAAACGCTTAATTCAATCGGCGCGATTTGCTGCTCTCGTGTGCATACATATCCGTTTGCGCAAGTCGCAATCGTTTTCAATTTTATTGGTCCATTAACGAATAAAATACGATTATTGAAAAGTGCCTCGCTATTTACGGCGCGCGAATTTCATTTCACACATTAACCATATTAGACGGAAAAAACACGTTATGAGCCGTAAATTGAAAAAATTCGAGAGTGAAAAAAAGCCAGTGCGGTTAAATACCAAGAGGCACGAATCTAGTTTGAAGATGAATTTCAATTTTGTTGCGTAGTTTAGTATATTGAGAGGCAATTTCACACCGAATTAAAGCCCGGCACACCGATTCGATAAGTTTTCATCGATTGGCCGTCATTATACCGATGCCGTTTCATTTTTTCTACTCGAGCTTCCTCTGCGTGTACTGCTGTGCATTGTGGTTTTTGCGCTCGCTTTCGACTTGCGTTGCACGGCTATTGAAAACATTGGAAAATGGAGCAATTAACACGTCACATTGCGCTCTGCATAAGTCTGCTATCGACGCCGCCGCCGCCACGAAATAGTCGGCTTCCTTCGCCGTTGTGTGTCGCACGATTTCATATTCAGTTAGCAAACACGGCGCAAATAAATTACGCGTGTTTAAAATGTTTTCCAACTTCGTGCTGTGCGTTCATCCGATGCACGAATAAAGAACGCTCTCTGTTCGCACGTCCGCGCGCGTATCGAGGTTGTTGGCGCTTCGGGTATTTGGCTTTGAGCAGTCACGTCTTGGCTCGTCTTCGGCCACATTTCTTCGCGAGTGCACACCACGCTGCTGCTGGCAGGGTTTCGACCCTTTAAATGTATGGCACTCATTAAGTCCTTTGAGATTCAGCAAAATAATTATGCACGCATATCCAGCACACTCCTCCCACTGGCTGCAATAAAACGATTCGCAATGTGCGCCATAAATACGCGATGTGTTCCAAACACACGCTGTGTAAACAGTTGTTTATTTTACATCTGCCGCGCCAATTCCAGCGAGCGAGCGAGCGAGCGACGCGCACGTTTTTGTAAATTATTATATTAATACGGTTTAATCTCTGTATTCCCAGTTGGATACGATTCATGGAAATTCCGCAGCGAGGAGATTTTTCGATCTTCCCGGTGCCGTATTGACCGAAGGGATTCTATCGCCCATCAGCGAGCCAACAAGATAATTGTAAACAAATGTTAAGCTTAGTGCGAGCGTAATTCGATGTAGCTAAGGTTTACGATTTACGAAATTACAGAGCACGCAACGCAATGCACCACGGGCAGCACGAAGGAAATGCACCAGCGTCGGCGCGCGTAATGATTGTGAGAACGAGAACAAAACGCGCGCTCTTGACCACGGCGGGGATCCTCCTGCACGGCGCGGTGTTAATATCACTGCATTAAAGTTCGAACATAATGATTGTGTGTGTGCATCATGTCGGGCGCGTACAATTGGCATTCGCTTTCGGCTCTCCGAGAGTCATCCATGATTGTTTTTTTTTTCCTCTCTCCTTGCGCACACGCATGTGTGTTCTCAGCTCGTAAATCTCGCCCGAACAGAGGTGTAGTTGTAACAAGCGATAGGAATCGAGGAACGCGTGCGGTCCCTAATCGATCAACGCACAATACTAATGCGTTGTTGCGTCGATAATTACGTATGCCGAAGATGATTCGATTCCGACAGGCGTCGACTTTTTTCTCGAGGGGCCAGCGCGCGCATGATTAAACGGTGTTTCAACAATAATTTAGATGTGATACTGTTTGTGAAAACGGCGCAATGTTAGCGCGTTTTGGCGTCACGCCAACGATTCCCAACTATTAATTAAATCGATTGGTATTTTGTCATTTGTGAAATGAATTTAACATCCGCTCGGTCGAAATTATACGGGAGAATAATTTATGAACGTCGAATCAAACCGAAATTGTTTTCCAGCCAGCTGAATTTAGTCCGGCATAATCAAGTTTATTTATTAGAATCTGCTCAGCCTAGTAGCGGAGAGAATTATGAAAATTTGCGCCGTACGAATGTTTGTTCGGCGAGAAAATTTCGACATTCCCAAAGTCAACACAGCGCGCGCAGGAGACGACAATGCGAAGTTACAACTTTAATTTTAAAGGCTAGAACTATTATATTATCTTGATTTTCTTTGATAAACGGGCGCGGACCGCGTCTTGACCGCATATTTTCGCAAAATAAACTTAATAAACTCGCCCGGCAACTCCACTCAAACTTCTTGTTCTGTTAGCTTCGACGTAAAACTTGGCCACGCCGAGTTCCCGACATAGTTGCGAAAGTCGCTTTAAAAATTTTAATAAAACTTTTTGTAAGAGCCACAAAAACAAAAACTCGCATAAAATACTTTCATTATAAAAATAGCTCTTCGAAGCTAAGTTGTTCTGCGGCGACCCTTTCATTACCAGCGCGCGGGGGCGCTCTTGTTTTTCTGTTGCGAATTGAGCGAATTGTTCGCAAAACGGCCGTTAAACGTTATCAACATTTAGTGGTGGAACGACACGAGCACGGCGTTATCGCCGGCGAGCACCAAACTGCTGGCGATATTAACGTCGCCATTGTGCCGATTCGTAACCGGCCGGCAATCAAGATACATTAATATTTTGTTTATTCTCCAAACTGATTTTCGCAGCCGCACAATCGAACTCGATAAGGGAAAGGAACTGGCGTGCATTATGCAAATACAATTTCTACACTTTTATTGTGTTGTGGTACGGCGGCGACGGCCCATATTATGACTGAATTCCCGCGAATATTTACGAAAGCATGCATGACAATTGGTCATTAAATCAAAACTGACGAAAAAAAGTTGGGAGTATGCACACAGTGTACGGAGAGAGTGGGTGACGAATCGTGCGAGTCTCTTCTTTCTTCTCTTGCCCACCCGTGGCCCAGATGCTCGCCGGGTTGAATCAAACCGATTCATAATCAAAGTCGTTGGCAAGCAAGCAAGCAAGGATAGAACAGAACTCAAATTGGATTTATACTTTCGAGGTGTCAGGAGACCCAAGGCAAGTCGTCGCGCAGTGTAATAGTTTAAATTAGAAAAGTTAGGAAATGCGTCGATTAATAGCTGGAGATTTTTTTTTTTTTTGGAGCGCAAAATCATAACTTTGGCCAAGAGCATTAGAATTATTAATGCGGCGTGCTCTCGCTCGGAAAAACAACGTTTTGTAATCACGCGCTGAGTAATTGTAGTCAAGGCCCGCGCACTGCTAATGTTTGTTGTAGCGCGGAAGGCAAAAAAGTCACTCACCTCCAGATTAGTCAAAATTGCCTTGCAGTTGGTCACAGGCACGGAGTCAGACACCGTGACCACCAATTCCTCGTAGGCACCGTTCTTCAATTCCAGGCCAGACACGCGGCTGATGTGCAGCGCATTGACGGCGAGCAGCAGCAGCAGGACGAAAAGTCCTTTCGTGGTGGCGCCCATATTCTGGCACGTTCTGCGGGCAGGTATCGCGTATAAACAAAGCTCAGCTGGCGCGCGCGTCCTAGACGGAGGACATCGCCGGCCCCCACACAAATTGTTAGTTCAATACGCGCGCACTTGTGTCGGTGGTTTGTTTCCCCTATTATGCCTTCAATAATCCAGTATCTTATTTTATCGATTCCAGCACTTAGTCACTTAATTTTAAGTTTGTAGCAAGCGCGGTAACCATGGAAACACACTTATACGATATACGCAGGTTATGCACGACGCAATGACAAAGTTTATCGTACTTTAACGTACTTGCAGGTTGAAATTTTCGTACGGCAGAGAGACGACTACAACTCGCACACGTTTTACTGTCGGTGACGGCTGCGTTGCGCTTCGCCGGTTCGGCTGTTGACGTCGTCCGCACGCAGTACGCAGTTACGCGAAGTTTACTCTCGGCGGTAACGCTCCTAGGTAGCTGTGTTGTGCTGCGCACAGTACGAAACACCACAGAAGACTGAAGTTGCGGTGCGACGCGCTGCTGATGGTTCTCTTCTTGCGTGCTCGCGCCTACTCCCACTACTCACTACAGCCGCGCGCGCGTTTACAGTACTATGTTGGATACTCACAAGCGGGAACGCGCACGCCGCGGTGAACGTAGAGTCGCGCGGCGTTACCTGCGATGCTCGGACGGATGCGGCGATGCAGAGACGAGTACGGCACCGGCGAGCGTAACGGCGGTAGCGCACCTTCGGCCTGCGGGGCCCCACCAAGCCAAAACCCAGCGCTTCTTTGATCGTCGTTCCTGCTCGCACACCTGCGCGCTGCAGCCTGAACGTACTTAGCACAATGAGTCGCGCTGTTCGAACGCATCAAACGGACCGGTTGGCGCTGCAATATGCACCTGAAAGAAAACATGAACTTGAGAACGTTTCATATCTTGTCGTCGTCGTGTGTTTTTTTCATCGTGCAAGCTTAAGCGAGCTAAGCAAACGCGCGCCGAGTGTGGGAAAGGTCGTTAGAGCTTTTTGTTTAATGAATTGCTCTTTCCTCGTTGTTTCTCATTGCTCATTTCTTCGGGAACACCTCGCGCGCGGATGCTGAAACTGAAAATCAACGCTCGAAAAACTCCGACAACGAAATAATCACGGCGAGCATTAGTTAATTTATGTTCGCATCGGCCAAGGTACGAGAAAAGGATGGGCAGGTAACCTTGATGGCTGGAGCTAAGCTATAAATTATCGCACTTGCCATGGCATGTTGCAATAACAACTTATTACTATGATTTGCATAATACTCGTGCTGCGGCGCAGTTTTTTTATTATTTTATTTTCTGTTTGTGACAATCTTTAAAACACAATAAATAATGCAATTGCACACGTCATGCGAGGCGTGGAGGTCTTCGGTGCTTGTTTAACGATTGCACCATTAACACCTCTCTCGCGGAAGAATCGAGCTTTTCTTCTATCTGCCGGTCGGAAAATTAGAAAGCGCCCGAGTGTACAAGATCGCTCAATAAGGAACAATGGGCGATAAAATGACTCACATATGTTTTACAACCGTCATCAACAATTACCCATTGTAAAAAGTGCGCTTGAATGTAGTCATTGATTCGGCGTTGATTTAATGCCGGCGGTGATTTTACAACTTTCGTGGGTTATACTCGACGAAAAATGTTCGAAAATGTGAAATTTCGAGCGCAACGAAAACTTTCGAACGCGAATTCGAGTCGGATTGTGTTGCGTCGCATCGCGAACACTAATGAATTTCGATTTTAACAATCAATTCGTCACGGACGATTTACGCGTTCCATCATCGTGTCTTTTTATAATTTCGTTGGCGAGCCTGTTTATGAGGTTTCCTTTCATCCATCGCCGGCGCGCCATGAAGTGACAACGCGTCCAGCGAGTGTAGAGTTTCGAGAAGGACACATAAAAAGCACGCGTGACTTATACAAACGTTTAACTTCTTGGAGGCGCGCCGAGGGAAAAAATTGCTTCTATTGGCGTGTAAACGATTTCAAAAAAGGCCTTTTTGTCCGCTTGCTTTTTATATTCATCGTGTGTTTTATTGCTGTCACGATTTCATGCAAGGTGTTGAAATGCAGCGCGCCGAGAATGGATTCTAATCCCCCCTGGAGGGCCAACCGTTTCAATTTACAGATTAATTACTGATTAATTGGGCGCGGAAGGACAATGGGACACGAGTACAAATTGAATTACATCTGCGCGAGCAGAAATTATCATTTGAATACGACGAACGTGATGCTGACGCGTCTTGATTGACACAATAAGGTGTGAAACTAAATAGGAAGAGACTTTTCTTGATTCGATTTGTACACCACTTTCCGCTCGCGCGCTGCGCTCCGTTGTCGTTTCCGTTAAAGAGGAAAGTTGTAAAGTCGCGGATTATTTGGAGCAAGCGATCGAAGTGACATTTGCGTTTCGAAAACAGCGCACATTGTGTTGTTGTTGGGTACATTTGTCCATGCATCAAAAGCAACCGTTTTTATTTCGGTTTGATTGTCATTGAATGAATCGTCACGAACGCGGGACGTTTTCTAATACGCAGCGGCGCGGACGACCGGCTGCACAATTATATTGTTCAAAATATTCCGCGCAATGGCGATTTGTGCTTCGTGCTGTCTCTATGTTTTTCTTCTCTTCTGTGCTGCTTGAAGAAAGGCCGCCGTTAATTGCACGGCAAATTGTCTCCAGTTTGCGCCGCTCGACTTTTACTTGGGTTTACTAAAATTTATTATTAACAATTACGGTGGTTATTTATGTGCCGGTCTTGGCTGCGGACGCCGTTGATCTGCGTGTGCATTCTGCGGAGTTTTGTTGGCGAATGAGGGCGGAAAATTTCAGTTTAATTAAGATTTGTTGACATGAGACGCGCTTAGACGCACGCGAAGCAGAGAAGAAGAAGAGGAAGCACAACATGCACATACGCAGCATGAAACCCTTATTATGAGTTGAGTTTGTTGAAGTCGCCTGCGCGAATTATCGCAGTGTTCAATAAGTCGAATCAGGTGCATACAATTCACACATCAGCGCTGCTGCACCACACACTCTAATCATCAAAACAATAACTATTTCTATACGCAGCGATGAAAAAATGCAATGCAATCATAGCGACGATTTGCGTTGACTTTGAGTCTTATTACAACGTTTCACGGCGCATTGCCGGCGTTTCTGGTTAGACGCAAATCTAAACTTGAATCCAGCCGAGACAATTCGATTTTCGAACAGACTGAAAACTGCATATTGTGAATATGAAATGCGATCGGATTCGAGCGCCCCGTAAAGATTCGCGATAAAACTTTGCGAACTAAATGCGCCGCAGGACAGCGAAATATTTCATTTGCTTCGATTTTTCCGACTTCCGCAAAATACCTAAATACCTGCGAAGCACTATTTTCGCAGGTAAATCCAGCAGTTAATTTTCGTTCGGGCGATAATACGCAATCAACGTGCCATGACTTTTCCACTTCGACTTTGTACCGTTGGTTGGGTTCGTCTTGAAGAAATAATTACACACGTTGGTATTGCCTATTAGCATTTGAATTGCGTTAACCGTCGTTAAACTATCCATTTGCTTCATCGCCCCATGCTCTCCTGACGCATCCATCACACGTATGTGCATCAGCATGGGAGATGCGCCTTTCTCCGAACGTGTATGCATTTGGCTTTCTTTCACATCACATGCACACACAGCGAAACCTCTTTCACTAACGGCGTACACCACATATAGGAGAGTATTCAATCTGTTCGATAGGAAAATCACTTAAAATCAAGCGATTATGTGTGCTGGCTGAAATGCGCAACCATCATCGTTAAGTTTACAATCTTCACCGCGACTCGAGAACGCTATTTTACGCTACAAGTTATTACAAATATTGAAGAGGTTTCATTGACGTCGAGTGTAAATAGCAAGATTACATTTGCGATACACCCAATATGAGTCTATGAGATAAATTTATATGTTAGAATTAGGTACATAGAAATAATTTTCTAAACGCAGATTGGAAACGTGCAGGAATATTGCACCTTCGCGTACGTGAGTATCTCCAGTGTAATTTCACGCGGAAATTATAACCTCGAGCGAAAGGAGTGCAGTGCACAATCCAAGATTAAATCGAAGAGTCCTCAATTTCCACCTGAAAACTTTCCGGCGTGTCGACGAGGGCACTTGTTGTACTCTCGTCGGTCAAGTGCTCTGAAAGCAAGTGCCGTCTGTTTACTGTACTTGTCGCCGTGTTGATAAATAATTAATTAAGCCTATAGAAACATATTCTTCACGCGCGCCTCGGGGCGTGCTATTTGCGTGCGGCGGGTTGCTGTGTGCTTGAAGCGCTCACAACCCGAAATGTGCGCGCCGTGCGCACAATACACAATGAAATAAATAATTAATCGTTTCAGAGGTAATTAATGGCGTGCTCTATGACTGCCGCTGCACTTTACCACCGCGAGGCGAAAGGGGCCGCCCTCACGGCCGAGATATGTATCACGCACCCGCTGCATACCAAACGTTACGCAAAACAACCCCTTCTGGTGGTGGTGGCCGAGGCACGGATCGGCTATTCAAACACACGCCGAGACAAATTACAAGCCATATCAGCGCTTTGTCAGATTCAATGGCGTGTGTAGTCCACGTGGGAAAGCATATCATTTGCCGGAACAGCCAGTCTAGCGACAACAATAACAACGTGTTCGACACCCCTATGAACCCGAATGATTCTATGAAAACAACCTCGTTGCGGACGCGCGTTATCACCGGAGCCTTCATTTGCATCTAACCGCTCCGTATTCATAGCGTTCGGGCATGGAAAACCTAAGGTAAATCACTCATTAAGAATTTATGCGGTTAAGTGTTTGCACACATGTTTAATTGAGTCCGACATGATTCAAAAGCGTGCGCTGGAATAATGTTATTGTCTCACAGAGAGAGAGTTTGTTCGCGCAGGTAAGTTAAACAGCAAAGAGAATTTTCGGACGTCGAGAATCTGATGGACACTTCCGACGTTTTATTTATGACTAATTGGATATTGCTGTTCGGAAAAAGGTCTGGAATTTAGTTTGCAAGGGCCGCAGGTACTCGAAATAAAAATCGCCGATGGAATTGGTGGCGCCGCGCCAGGTTCTTTGCGCCCGCTTTACAATATTGCCACTTTAGCATTTTAACAACCCTTTTGCAACCCCTTTTACTCAACTATGCCAATGTAATTTATGAGCGTGATTGCCGTTGCCATTTTTCCACTGATTGTAAATCGCCTCGCGCGCACGCCTGCAAAGTGTACAATAATTGTAAACTACACGCCGAATTCGACAGCGACGGGTTTCGGTAATTGAATAAAAATTTCCACATTTATTACGCGCCAATAAATTTTTATTGAAATACCTGCATGCGTGCGTGTTTTTCAGCAACCCACTCACGTCCAATACGGAGGAATTTCTGCAACAAGCGACTGTTAATGTATTCGCAACGTGCAAATAACCGGATGTCTTTGATTTTGTTTCATAGCGATGAGTCCCAGGAACGTGCCTCACATTTTCCACACGAAATTATTGACTCTTGGTCATATTTACCCATAGAAAGAAAAAAAATAGAACCATTTATTCATGGAAAGTGATTTCCGGAATTCGGACAGTTCGTGTTGTCGTTAATCTAAGCAGAACGCAGCGGACATCAAAAGGAATGGGGCATGAAGTGGCGGCGAATTTAAAATATCTTATGGCGGTACGTGCCGAATGATACTCAGAGTGGATCAGACGAAAATCACCAAACAGACACGTACGGAGCTCGGAGGTGTCATTGTAGCGGACGCATCTGTTTGGTATATTAAGAAAATCGTGCAGAAAATAAAGCGCCGTAAGATGCGTTCAATTCAGTAAGTCATGTACG